TCCACTCATTCGCTTTGACATCTCAACCCTCTACTGTCTAAGCTGACTCCAAGATGATTCAACCTTCTCCAGCTGACTCACTCTGACTCCATCTCCTAGTTAATTACAGCTCGTACACGTGATGTCCCCTCTTTCCTTGAGATTCAAACCATCCTCTGTTTCAGAGTTCACTGCCTCCTTCCTATCATACAGAAAATTGTTTCGTTTAACCTTGTGTGTACTCCTATCTCCGTTTCTGTCTGGCCTCAGATGGCTATCAGCAAATATTTGAAAGATCTTCAGCTACCCCCGTTCCCATATCAGATACCATTTAGCTGTGACACGCCAATCAGCTATATTTTTAAATTAATCCAACTTGTACAGCCTAAATCATAAAAAATCAAGCTCTACCCCCTTAATTTTGGTACATAAAGCTCTTTTCCGCTTGTTTATGCTAGTGGCCCCCTGATCTAAAACTAATTACCTCCTTTTCATTTTGATACTCCCTATAAGTCATGCAATTTGCCTCTGATATGATCCTATAGATTTTCCACAGGCTTCAACTGTACCACATTCATGAGTTCCACACCTGATAACAACATTCACACACCCAGGCATTCAAATATGTTATTGTCATTCACTCCTGGCCGCAGCCTTAATAAAACAAACACAAGTCTGGTACGGAACAACCCAGCGGCCAGACCTGTCCTTGCCTCACAGCAGCGCCCCCTTCCGGTCAGGATACGGAAGCACCGATCACACAAGACACCTCTGACGCAGAAACGAAGACAAAACAAAACACGCGTAAACCTTCCCCTCCTCGTGCGGTTGGAACAAAGAAACGCTCCCTTCCCCCACACGAGTGCTTTACCACACACACAGGCTCCAAGCAGACTTTCTCCGACACACAGAAAAAAGAGAAAAGCAACCCTGAGTTCCGCCCACACACAGCTCACTCCCCCCTCTCTCTTTTTTTTTTTTTACGTCTCTGCCAACGCGTCCCCCTTGAAGCGTTCACACGACCTACAAAACACGGCGCAAACAAAGTTATTACAACGTCCTAAAACTAATGTGATCCCTGATCACATGAAATTTGGTAAACACTCTATGCTATTTCACTCATTTTCTCTCAAAGCTAAAGTAATAATGGGGTCCAATTTAGGCGGCAGTCAACACTGGCCAGAGGAGTCCCGACCCTCAGCCCCCAAAAGACATTTGTGAAAAACTTTGGACCTTAGTCTCGTCAGACTAAAGTTTTGGATGGCCAATCCCGCTGAATTTTGCGAGAAAACGTTGTCACCCACGTGACTTCCGGCAGGCCTTCCGCCGTCCACCGGCACAAGTCCACAAACTTGTGAAAACTACCTAAAAATGTCTAAGTAAGCGTTCGGCGCTAAAACAGTCTGAATATCGTAATCCATCTCGTCAGAATTAACACGAATCACCGGGAGTTATCTTAAATAAAACCATCTTTATTTTCCGGAGATGGCCGCATGCACACGAACAGAGGAAGTTGAATTTAGTTTTAATTTAGTTTACAGCCGAAAAGCCAGAAACTCCGGACCTTAAGGTCCAAACAGTTAACCAGCTTACCTGAAAGTAATGGGCCCAGTTCCTCTCTCTGTGTGCACCGCAAGCCACCTCGATCCAATTCAGTGTAGGCCGCATCACCTCGCCGCACGTCGGGTGTCACCATTTTGTTGTGGCTAGAATACCACGTCGTGTTCAAAACGGCGGAGGCGTCGTCCTTCGTATAAAAGATTTATTTGATACAACATGGGTTACAGATATTCAGAGACAAACAATTACATTAATAAGATATATGCATATAAATGGAGCATTAAGAACGAACCGCCTCGTGTGCGTCTCCCGGAAAATGCTCGGTGCGCGTGCGTCATTCCCGGCCTTTTATCCCCGTTTGAGAAGGCTAGCTTCCTGATTGGTTCAGCTTCTGTCGCTATGGTTACGACTTAGCCCGCCCCCTCAAGGACGTTACGTCTATATTTCAGATAAGTTTTGGTTCACTGAAATCGGCTTTTGTTTAAAGTTTAACTTGCTATTATACTTTAGGGATATAAAATGATTCGTGTCTAAATTGTTTATGCGTAATAATTAATAACTATTAATTATTACCTACCTCCTGGGTGTTAATTCAATATCTGTTGGAGGTCTGGTGATTCTGTTTTTAAGGCAGATTCATCTTAGTTTCTGTGTCTGCGTTTAAAACTGTTAACACTGTTTGTTTAACGTGATTATACCTTAGTGATAACACTGATTTGAAATAGTTGTTTATTTCTAGGAATAATTATATTATCTAACTTATGTTCGTGTTTTTATTTGGATCATGGTTATACTCTTAATTTGATTTTACTTAGTCAACCTATAGTCTAAATTAAAGAGCTGTTCTAGCTTTATTTATGTTAATCAGTCTGCTCTCTGGCCTGATTTGATTGCTTGTAATTTATCAAATGTGAACTTGTAAAATTATCTTTAGCTACTATGAGATTATATTTAAAGGTCAACTAGTTAGAATTAGCAAACATTTTCTATAAACATAGTTCAACCTTGGAAGAAAGACACACACACACTTTATATGACATGACATTTGAGTGCTTGATAGGAATTATAAAAAGGTATAAAATATTAAATCCAACATTGCTCTGCTCCAAGACAAGCTCTCCCTGCTCCATGTACCTGACTCCACCTGCAGGTGGATCACAGACTTCCTGACAGACCGGAGTCAGTGCGTGCGGCTGGGGAGAGCTGTCTCGGACACTCGGACTATAAGCACAGGGTCTCCACAGGGCTGTGTGCTTTGCCCCCTGCTTTCCTCCCTGTACACCAACTGCTGCACCTCCAGCCATGACTCTGTGAAACTTATTAAGTTTGCAGATGACACTACCCTCATCGGGCTCATCTCGGATGGTGATGAGTCTGCATACAGGAGGGAGGTGGACCGGCTGGTGACCTGGTGCAGCAGCAACAACCTGGAACTCAATGCCCAGAAGACAGTGGAGGTGATTGTGGATTTCAGGAAAGCCACAGCCCCTCTGCCCCCCCTCACCTGTAATGATACCCCCATCACCACTGCAAATTCTTATCGGTTCCTCGGCACCACCATCACCCAGGACCTCAAGTGGGAGCCGACCATCAGCTCCCACATCAAGAAGGCCCAGCAGAGACTGTACTTCCAGCGACAGCTGAAGAAGGCCAAGCTGCCGGCCAAGCTGATGGTGCAGTTCTACACAGCCATCATCGAGTCCATCCTCAGCTCCTCCATCACGGTATGGTACGCCGGGGCCACTGCCAGGGACAGACTCAGACTGCAGCGCGTTGTGCGCTCAGCTGAGAAGGTGATCGGCTGCAGCCTTCCATCCCTCCACGACCTGTACGTCTCCAGGACTGTGAGGCGAGCAGGTCGGATCACAGCTAACCCTGCTCACCCTGCACACAGACTGTTTGAACCACTCCCCTCAGGCAGGAGGCTTCGGTCCATTCGGACCAGAACCTCCCGCCATAAGAACAGTTTCTTCCCCTCTGCTGTTGGACTCCTGAACACTCATAATGCTACCTCATAATTTCTGCTTTGGTCACATTACATCTGTATTATAATTGAATACTCCATCTGTACTGTTTTCTAAGCTTTTTTATTGTTTTCTATTGTATGGGTGTACATATGGTTATGTTATGTTTTTAATTTTACTTTATTTGTGGGTGTACACAGGTTTTATGTCTTATGTAATGTTCTCATTTTTACTTAATTTTTACTTTATTTTACTTTATTACTATTCGCACCTTATGTCGAAGCAAATTCCTAGTTTGTGAACCTCGTTCATTGACATGGCAATAATAAACTGATTCTGATATAGACCACTTTGTTTTGAGCTGCTTTTCAGCGTTATGGAGGAGGATACAGCGGTGACGCCATAGACAAACACAGGAGTTGTTTTTGTTTTTTTTCTTCTGACTATAAAAATGGTGGTCGAGACGGGAACAGCCCCACATGCCCCCAACGCAGTGACGTATGTTCCAAAGCTCTATAAAGTACCTTTAAACCCATAGATATAATACAATCTATCCATCCATCCATCCATTATCTTTACCCGCTTGTTCCATTTTGGGTCACGGGGGTCGCCGGTGCCCATGTGCAGCAATCACTGTGCGAGGGGCGGGGTACACCCTGGACGGGTCGCAAGTCCATCACAGGGCCACATAGAGACAAACGAGACAAACAACTGTTCACTCTCTCACTCACACCTAGGGACAATTTAGAGTTACCAATCAGCCTAACATGCATGTTTTTTGGTCTGTGGGAGAAAACCGGAATACCCGGAGAAAACCCACGCATGCACAGAGAGAACATGAAAACTCCACCCAGAAAGTTCCCTGGACCGGGGTTTGAACCAAGGACCTGCTTGCTGAGAGACAGCAGCTCTACCAGTTGCGCCACCGTGCTGCCATAATAATATATATATGTAATAATAATCATTATACATACATATATATATATATATATATATATATATATATATATATATATATATAAATATATATATATATATGTATGTGTGTGTGTGTGCATATGTATATAATAATATTATATCTATGTTTAAACCTACTAGGAGGTAGGTGGGACAGACCGCTACATATGGGGATGATAACAACTAATAACGGCCATTCATTTTATTAAGGATGTGGAACTAAATGGAAAATTAGTTCAGACTCTACCAACAAAAAGGCCCTTAGGACAATTTCGATCTGTAAGTCTTTGCAAATATTTATTTACTTAACACCTCTGGTTGTTTGTTTATATAAGTGTTGTGTTCTTCTGTAAACTCCATTCATTGGTTTGTTGTATACTTGTGATTCGCTTGAATAAAGATTTTCGTGCGCATTTGTGACTTCTCGGACACCGTAGTAGGCGGGTTTGTTTTCGAGAAATGTCTGATTGACAGTTAAATTGACGAATTGAAATCGTGAGTCTGTAGTGGCACGCACGCGCTGCTATGGTAGGTGGAGAAGTCGTTTACGTGGTTACTAGGCAGCAGCGCGCTAACGGAGTTCATTAGGAGAAAAATACGATGCTCTGACAATAATAATACATTTAAGCACAAGCCAAACGTACAAAATAATTTATACGCAGTTTTCTAGTTTCCAATTTTATGACCGGATTTTTCTCATCTTTAATACTTAACTGCCGTCCGCAACCCTGGATTCTTCAAGGTAAAAATTTCTACTCGGCATAAACCCGTGAAAAGCAGTACGTGTAGTTAGACCGCATTTTGTGCTAAATGCTAAAAGCTAAAAGGCAGTTCCGATTTAAAATGAGCCTTTTTCTTTTAGCGACTTTCAAGAAAAACTGCGGAAGAAACGACGGGCTTTACGAGAAACGTTGGTTAAAAACAAGCCAGAGGATGACGTTCAGGTAATCTGTTACTCCAAAAATCAGTTGACTGGCGTAGACTGAGCATGCGCCATTTTTAACATGTTTGAACATAACCAAGGGGAGCCGGGCTCATTTTATGTCACACTCTTTGTAGAGGAGCTGCTAACGTGTTGGTAAATGTAACTTACTCGATAGGCTCTGGTTCCCTCTGCCAAGTTGAATGTGAAGAAGCAACAAACTACAATGCAGGTTGGTTTGTGTTTTGTATGGGTTGTAGCTGCTCTCTGTGTGCTGCTGGTTTCTCAACTCCAGGCTCCTTCTCTCCCTCTTCAGATTTGTGCATTGAAGTGTGATGTGCTGTTGCTGTCTGCAATATAACGCTGCTAATAATAATAATAGCTGTATGTGTTATTAAAAATAATGATGCTGTCTGGTTGTGTTGCAGCAAGAAGTTGAAGGCAGTGATGGAGACCCAGGAGAAACTCTCAAAAGGGCATTAAGGGCTCAAAGACAGAGGCGAAAAAAGAAGGTGCATCTTTCTTTTAGTTTTCTGTAGTTTTTAACCTAATTTGCTAACACCACTGTTTGCTTTGTTTGTTTATTAGCTGCTCAAGCAGTCTTTAGTTATGGATACACATGACGATGAAGATGCAGAGGAGGTTTCCACTATTCAGGACTACAGTGCAACATCAGCAGATAAGACGGATATTTTAGTGGTTTCAGCAAAACCTCCAACTGGTTCTCGCATAGGTTTGTTTTGTTGTCTTGGTTTACACTTTACATTTGTAACACATGTTTTGGGTAACTGGGTCACTTTACCTCTAAATTGCATCCAAATACACAGAAGGGCTGGATGTCACTGATTAAAGTATCTGCTTTCATTGTGCAAACAGAAGACGATCATCTGACAGCACTGTGGCTCCAGAGTCAAAACTTTCTAATGGTCTATTTCTGTTTGCACAATAAAAATGAAAATTTAACATTTTTTCTTTATGTTTAAAAGTTTGTCATCTGCGAAGCACCTGATTCAGTTATTGCTGTAAGATGAAGAGAGAACCCTGTTTTATTGCACTAAAAGGCAACTTTTACAACTGGAACATATTCTAAGAAATTTTGAAGGGGCTAAAAGTTCCAATATCAGTAATAATAATAATAATAACTGGCATAATGGCAAATAAAATCTATGACCACCTATTGGGGAATAAAATGCTACCTGAAGAACAGAAAGTTTGTAGGAAAGCAAGTAAGGGATGCAAAGACCAGCTTTTTATAAACAAAATGGTAATCAGCGATACCAAAGGCAGAATGAAAAACATGAGCATAATGTGGATAGACTACAAGAAAGCTTTTGATAGCTTACCCCACTCATGGATCCTACAAAACCTGGAGTTCTATAGAGTGAACCCAGATATCATTGACTTCTTGTCAACAGCTATGCAAACCTGGTGGACACAGATGAACCTGTTCTATTGTGAAGGAAGCATACAGACTGAGGAGATTGAGATCAAGCAAGAGATTTTTCAAGGTGACTCGCTATCCCCATTATTGTTTTGTATTGCACTTATTCCACTCAGCAGCATGCTCAAATGAGAAAAAAGCAAGGATACGAGGTTAAAAAAGGACAGCAAGTCAATTATCTGCTGTACATGGATGACCTCAAGCTCTTTGCCAGAGGAGATACAGAACTGAATGCTGAGCTAAATGTAGTTAAAAAGTTCACCAATGATACACGAATGGAATTTGGCCTGGACAAATGTGCTAAAGTGACCTTCCACTGGGGCAAACTAACCCCAGACCTAGATATCACTTTCAGTGACAAAGAAACTATCAAAAGCCTGGAACTTGGAGGTATCTACAAGTACCTGGGTGTGGATGAGTGTGAAGGCATCCAGGATGAGTCCATGAAAGCCAAAATAAGGAAGGAATACTATTGGCACATCGGAATGGTTCTCAAATCAGAGCTAAACTCACAGAACAAGATTGCTGCAATCAACTGTTTCTCAGTGTCAGTGGTTGCCTATAGCTTTGGCATTCTCTCATGGACCAAGAAGGACATCAAGAATATGGGCTACAAGACCAGGAAATTCCTGACTTTACATGGCCTGTTACACTCAAGAGCTGATGTTGAGCACCTGTATATCGCGACGCCAGGGAGGACGTGGGCTGCCACAATTTGATACCGCTGATGAGGCAGCGATAGCAGGGTTGTGTGATTACCTGGAGCAGTCTGATCAAGCAGTTGGCTTATCCAACTTCTTTGAGACTTCTAGAAGACATTAGCACAACACAAGTCCATCATTCAGAGAGGTCATGAGATAAAAAAACAAGTATAATGTGCCAGTAGGATCAAACATAGATCTTACAAAAACCAATCTTTGTGCTTAAGATCATGGCAGCCCGACTAGAACGTTACAAGGAAAAGCCACTACATGGCCAGTTTGCTAATAATGTTGACAAGCATTATGTGGACAAAGAATTTACTCACTCATGGCTGTGGACTCAAAGGAAAAACTGAAAGTTTAACTACTGCAGCACAGGACCAAGCCTTAAACACACACTATCACCAAAAATGTGATGGCATGCAGGTCAGCAGCACATGCTGTGTGTTGGGAAGCAGAGGAGTCCATTAGTCATATAATAAAAATAATAATAATACATTTTATTTGAAGGCGCCTTTCAAAACACTCAAGGCCACTGAACAAGAAATACAAGATAAAAAAACAATAAAACAATAAAATACAGATATCAATAAAATCAAATGCTAATAATGATAAAATACATAATGACATTAAACAGAATAAGCAAGTTTGAAAACATGAGTTTTAAGGTTAGATTTAAATGAGGGCAGAGAGTCAGAATTACGGATGTGCTGTGGAAGAGAGTTCCAGAGACGTGGGGCTTTGCGGGAGAAGGCTCTGGATCCCATGGTTGTTAAGCGGGCAGGAGGTATTACAAGAGAGATGGATAGAGAGGAGCGAAGACTTCGGGCAGGTGTGTAATAGCGAAGAAGATCTGTGAGGTACAGAGGTGCCAAGTTATGGAGAGCTTTGAAAGTGAGGAGGAGAATCTTAAAGTCGATGTGATATTTTATGGGTAACCAGTGAAGATCTTTAAGGATAGGGGTGATGTGTTCCTTCGACGTAGTTCAAGTGATTATTCGGGCAGCTGTGTTTTGAACAAGCTGAAGTTTATGGATGATTTTGAGAGGAAGATCTGAGAAGAGGGAGTTACAGTAGTCTAGTCAAGAGATGGCTAGAGCATTGATAAGGATAGCTGTGCTGGTGGGGGTAAGAAATGAACGGAGACGGTTGATGTTTTGAAGATGAAAATATGCAGACCGAGTAAAGTTATTGACATGAGATTCAAAAGATAATGTGCTATCAAGGATGACACCCAGACTCTTAGCTGTAGGGGAGGGAGAAACTGTGGAATCATTAACTTTAATTGTGAAACTGTTGCATTTGGATAGGGTAGATTTGGTGCCAACAAGGAGGAATTCTGTTTTGAGTTCAGTTTAAGAAAGTTCTGTTTAAACCATAATTTGCTTTCACAGAGGCAGTCTGAAAGGAAGGATAGTGGAAGGGTGGTGGAAGAATGGTGTTGGACTTGGTGGAGAGGTAGAGCTGGGTGTCATCCGCTTAGCAGTGAAAATTAATACCAATTTTTTTAAAGATAAGATCAAGTGGAAGAAGATAAATGATAAACAGTAGAGGACCAAGAACAGAACCCTGCGGTACACCTGAAGTAACTGTGGAGGACTGTGACTTCAAGTTCTTGAGTTGGACAAAGTGCTGACGGTCAGAGAGAGAAGATTGAAACCAATTTATAGCAATGCCAGAAAAACCAATGGAACGTAATCTATCGAGAAGAATATTGTGTGAAATGGTATCAAATGCTGCACTCAGGTCAAGGAGAATGAGAATTGATAACAGTCCAGCGTCGGCAGAAACCAGAAGATCATTGGTGATTTCAATCAAAGCTGTCTCAGTGCTGTGGAGGGGGCAGAAACCTGACTGAAGTTCTTCAAACAGATTATCAGAAAGATGACTGTGAACCTGGGCTGCAACTGTTTTTTTCGAGTATTTTGGAAATAAAGGGTAGGTTAGAAATTGGTCTGAAGTTATTTAAGTCAGTTGGATCAGCACCTGATTTTTTAAGAATTGAAGTTATTGCAGCAGTTTTGAGTGATGGTCGGACAAAACCAGAAGAGAGAGCTAAATTAATAATCTTCGTTATTAGAGTAGATTGAGAAGGTAGACAGGCTTTAACTAAGTGTGTAGGAAGTGGATCAAGCTATAGTTTATAGTTTCTGGCTGCAAAATATTGGCCCCAAAAGAATATCTGGAAAGCCACAACAAGGTTGGGTCTTACCTGCACTGAGCTTTGTGCCAGAGAATGGGTGTAGGTACAAACCGGATTCCAAAAAAGTTGGGACACTAAACAAATTGTGAATAAAATCTGAATGGAATGATGTAGAGGTGCCAACATCTAATATTTTATTCAGAATAGAACACAGATCAAAAGTTTAAACTGAGAGAATGTATCATTTTAAGGGAAAAATCTGTTGTTTCCAAATTTCATGGCGTCAACAAATCCCAAAAAAAGTTTGGACAAGTCCATTTTTACCACTGTGTGGCATCCCCCATTCTTCTTACAACACTCAACAGACGTCTGGGGACAGAGGAGACCAGTTTCTCAAGTTTAGAAATAGGAATGCTCTCCCATTCATGTCTAATACAGGCCTCTAACTGTTCAATCGTCTTGGGCCTTCTTTGTCACACCTTCCTCTTTATGATGCACCAAATGTTCTCTATAGGTGAAAGATCTGGACTGCAGGCTGGCCATTTCAGTACCCGGATCCTTCTCCTACGTAGCCATGATGTTGTGATTGCTGCAGAATGTGGTCTGGCATTATCGTGTTGAAAAATGCAGGGTCTTCCCTGAAAGAGATGACGTCTAGATGGGAGCATATGTTGTTCTATAACCTGAACATAGTTCTCTGCATGAATGGTGCCTTTCCAGACATGCAAGCTGCCCATGCCACAAGTGCTCATGCAACCTCATACCATCAGTGATGCAGGCTTCTGAACGGAGCGTTGATAACAACTTGGGCTATCCTTGTCCTCTCTGGTCCGTATGACATGGTGTCCCAGTGTTCCATAAAGAACTTCAAATCGTGACTCATCTGACCCCAGAACAGTCTTCCATTTTGCCACACTCCATTTTAAATGACCCCTGGCCCAGTGCAAATGTCTGAGCTTGTGGAGCTTGCTTAGAAATGGCTTCCTCTTTGTACTGTAGAGTTTCAGCTGGCAACGGTTTATGGCACGGTGGATTGTGTTCACTGACGATGCTTTCTGGAAGTATTCCTGAGCCCATTCTGTTATTTCCTTGACAGTGGCATTCCTGTTTGAGGTGCAGTGACGTTTAAGGGCCCAGAGATCACGAGCGTCCAGTAGTTTTACGGCCTTGACCCTTACGCACAGCGATTCTTCAGGATTCTCTGAATCTTTTGATGATGTTATGCACGGTTGATGATGATAACTTAAAAGTCTTTGCTATTTTATGCTGGGTAACACCATTCTGGTATTGCTGCACTATCTTTCTGCGTAACAATGGTGGAATAGGGGATCCTCTTACCATCTTGGCTTCTGAGAGACACTGACACTCTGAGAAGCTCTTTTTATACCCAATCATGTTGTCAATTGACCTAAATAGTGTTAATTGGTCTTCCAGCTGTTCGTTATATGCTCAATTTCCTTTTTCCAGCCACTTATTGCTACTTGTCCCAACTTTTTTGGGATTTGTTGACACTGTGAAATTTTGAATCAACATATTTTTCCTTTAAAATGTTACATTTACTCAGATTAAACTTTTGATCTGTCATCTGTTATATTACGAATAAAATATTGACATTTGCCATCTCCACATCATTGCATTCAGTTTTTATTCACAATTTGTTTAGTGTCCCAACTTTTTTGGAATCCGGTTTGTACAACTGACCAGTGGTATGAGCAAAGGACTGAGAAAGTGGTTGACAATGGCGCTTATGTCATCATGTGGGAGATGACAGCATTTTGGTTGGCCTTGTTGCTGTTTTAAGTGCTTTATAAATAAAGTCGTATGGTATGGTATGACTATCCCTACTGATCATACAATCTCTGCAAACTGGCCAGATATTATGCTCCATGACAAGAAAAACAAAATGTGTTACTTGTTTGATGTGACTTTCCCGAATGACAATAACATCCTAAAGAAAGAAGCTGAGATAATAACAGTTACAAGGACCTGGAGATAGAAGTCCAATGCATGTAGAACACAAAAACTCAAGCTATACCAATCGTAAATGGAGCTTTAGGAACAATGAAGAAAGGATTTCAAGAGCAACTAGACAAACTCCCATGTAGAGTCAATGCCAAAGAAATGCAAGACTGTGCAGCTAGCGTCTGCTCACATACTTTGACGAGTACTCAGCTGAATACCAGCCGAGTGCAGAGATTAAACTGAGGGACCTGGTTGGCCCCTGGTGAAAGAACCAGCAATAAATGAAGATATGCTGAGATAATATTATTAATAATAATAATAATAATAATAATAATCTGAGCTAAGAAAAAAATGCCTACATTTTGATGTATAAACTATAAAAGTAGTATGAAGAGAATCAAGATCAAAACAAAAGTAAATTGCTAATGGTAACCATGCACTTGTGTCACCCTGGTAGCATTTTTAAGAGGCAAACAGAAACATAGACTGAAAAGAAAGTAAGCCTCAAATAGTCATTGTGAAATATAAAGGCAGTATCTTTAAAATTCTTAAACTATGAGCAGCATACCATACCATACCATACCATTTTATTTATAAAGCACTTAAAACAGCGACAAGGCCAACCAAAGTGCTGTACAGATAGAACACCAGTTAACACACAAAGCAATAAACAAAATGAAGTAAATCAGAATACAGACATAAAAACGATGCAGATAATAAATATGACGACTAACCTTTGTGAAGCAAACAGGTTCAAAACACGGATCCTCTGGTGTTGAAAGCTACTGAATAGTAGTGGTTTTTAAACGGGATTTGAAAACCGAGAGGGAGGGGGCCTGTCTGACAAGCAGATGTAACTAGTTCCAAAGTCTCAGGCCTGCTACAGAGAAGGCCCTGTCACCTCTGCACTTAAGACGAGTTCCTGGAACTGTGAGGAGCAACTGGTCCGCTGACCTCAGGGAATGTGGTGGGACATACGGCTGTAGCAAATCAGAGAGGTGGGGGGGACTGTTCAGCGATTTGTAGACATACAGGAGTATTTTGAACTGGATTTGAAGGTGAACCGGTAGCCAGTGCAGTGAAGCCAAAACTGGAGTAATGTGTTCTCTTTTGAAGCAAAGACTGATGGTCACACATGGCAATTTTTTATGTGTTCATAGTAGTTTAGGAATGTAGGAATAAAAACAAATTAAAAACAACATTATTTTCAGTTTTGAAGACAAAACTTCAAGCTAAAATATGACCTAATTGTGTGGAAGCTTGGGTGTGGTTTCTGCAGTCTGAGGTGATTTGAGCTATAAATCCTATAGCAGTGAGGACCACTTGGTGGAAAAAGGCACAAATGCCTATATTTAGATAAGTAATTTGTACATGTACAAATAAATTGTGTAAGTAAGAAGAGTTAGTAGAATTTTGGAAAGCTCCAACATCTCAACATTTACTGTATAGAGTCATTAACTGTAGAATATTTAGTGAGAAAACTCCAAAAGTTATTTAATTTAAGCTGTGAAAAGCTGTAAAAATCTCAAAGTGACTAATGTAATTATTGTTTTATAATGCTTGTTATATTCTAGGTTTAAGAACTCAGCCTTTCTCCAGCTCAAAGTACTTAGACACCTTGCAAGAGAAGCTGAGAGCAGCAAGGGTATATACTTTTTTCGTATACAGTACTTCTGTTTCATACACATTCAGATGTGTGGACTTATCAGTCTGCATGGAATTCTGTTGACACAGCGTATATGGATCTTGTATTGCAGTCTAAAGTAGAGAAACTTCAGCAGCAGGAGGCTTCTGTACGGCCAGCCAGTCGACTCCAAAGGCTCAGAGACAGAGACTCTGTAACAAGGTTTGGCAGAGAGGTGAGTTCACCCACAGCTGCACACATGTAATCTAATACAGCAAGAGAACTTGATTACCGGTACTCTGTTTTTTAGCAGGTTGATCCAGTCAGTGCAGAGAGAGATGAGGACCTTTCAGCTCTTCGTAGCAGGGTCAAGTTCCAGGAGGCTGCCCGAAGAGTAAGGCCTACATTGAGGTGGAAACATACGACTTAGTTATGACTGTATTTATATAATTGCCTATTTGTTGACAATGCAGGTAGAAGAAGACCTCCCATCTGCTGAGGAGGCCTACAATTTCTTTACATTCAACTTTGAGTTTGATCATCCGAACAAGTCAGAAAAACTTGGTAGAAAAAGACAGAAACAGAGAGAAACCACCGAGGAGGACAGAGGGGAAGCTGAGGTGGAGGGAGATGCTGAAGGAGAAGATAATCAAGATGATAATGTCATCCAGGTAACATGAGCTGAGTTTGTTTGGATAATTATTTTCCATCTGTTTAAGCATCTGGAAATTATTAAGTGAATGTCTTGTTTTGTGTGTCCCACCTCAGAGGGAAGATGCTCCCCTGGTTAGAAATGGAGAGGATTTATTTGTCATTGATCAATCGCTCCAAGACTTCCTGGTAACAAAGAGGACAGAGTATGTTGGCTATCAAAAACGTCTTCAACGAGACAGGGAGCTTTTATTCACACCAAGCTTTCGAACAGGTAGAATGTGCTCTAATAAACATCGTGATTCATGTTTGTGACTTTCAAGTTGCAGTTAAGTTTATTAACTGCAACTGTGTTTTTATTTTACAGTTCCTACCTCTGTTAAGCTGCCTGAAAACACGAAGCCTCGCTTTTTGGAAGATGAGGGTCTCTATGTAGGGGAGAGACCCCACGTTTCTCTGACCAATGAGAACATCATGGAAAATCGCTTTTTGAGAGCAGAGGAGGTGTCATTAGCCAACATGCTGGATAGTTCAAATATATGTCCTTTTTTTATTTAGTATTTATACGGATGAGTTTTGTGTATGTTTAAGGGAAAGAAGTGGTTTGGAGATGATGGTAAGATCATGGCTCTGCCTGACCCCATTAAAGAGTCATCCACGAGACCCCCTTTGTTTCACATGGAAGGAGACCTGGATCCTGCTCTGCAGACTGTGTACAGAAAGGTCAGAAATGCTCACTAATACTTTCTCAGTATCATGTGTTTCACACTCGTTTTTCACATTATACACTGGAACTGACACAGCATCTTCAAATCTCTGACTCTTTATGTCTAAAATTGAAAATAAAAAGGTGTGATTGGCATTTTAGTACAACATAAAGGGTAATAGGAGACTTTTAGTTAAGATTTTAAAAGACACCAAGATAAAAATGTAATGGCAAGAGATTTCAGCCAACAGTTTTTTTTTTTTTTTTTTTAAAGAAAGGAGCTGAGCTGTCCACTGATCACCACCTGGTAGTGAGTTGGATCAGATGGTGGGGGAAGATGCTGGACAGACCCATCCCTCCATCTATCCATCCATTATCTTTACCCGCTTATTCCATTTTGGGTCACGGGGGTCGCTGGTGCCCATGTCCGGCAATCACTGTGCGAGGGGCGAGGTACACCCTGGACGGGTCGCAAGTCCATCACAGGGCCACATAAAGACAAACGAGACAAACAACCATTCACTCTCTCACTCACACCTAGGGACAATTTAGAGTTACCAATCAGCCTAACATGCATGTTTTTGGTCTGTGGGAGGAAACCGGAGCACCCGGAGAAAACCCACGCATGCACGGAGAGAACATGCAAACTCCACCCAGAAAGGCCCGGGACCGGGGTTTGAACCAAGGACCTGCTCGCTGACAGGCAGCAGCTCTACCAGTTGCGCCACCGTGCTGCCCTGGACAGACCCAATAAATGGTAAATGAACTATACTTATATAGTGCCTTTCTATCTGATCCAGATACTCAAAGCGCTTTACAGTACAATCTGTGTCCTCATTTACCCATTCATACAGCACTCTACTAGATCTATACAAAGCTAATTGAGCAAATCATTCTAAAGAGACTAATCAGAGCTTTATCACATTCATACACTGATGGGACACACAATGGGGGGTTAAGTGTCTTCCCCAGGGACACTTCGGCATGTGACTTCTGGTGGATTCGAACATCCAACTCTTGCATTGGAGGACGACTGCTCTAACCACTCAGCAACAGCAGCCCTAACGTGTAGTGAGGGTTTGCTGGGAATGCCTGGCAGAAGAACCCGTCAGAGAAATCTTCAACTCACACCTCCGGGAGAGCTTTAACTGCATCCCAGCTGAGGTGGGGGACATTGAGTCTGAGTGAGCCATGTTCCTCACCTCACTTGTTGAGGTAGCTGCCTTGAGCTGTGGCCACAAGGTTGTCGGTGCTTCTCGCGGTGGCCATCCACGAACTCGGTGGTGGACACCCCGGGTTAGGGAGGCTGTCAAGCTGAAGAAGGAGTCCTATCAGGTCTTGTTGGCCAGTGGGACTCCGGAGGCAGCTGAGGAGTACCTGAGGGCCAAGCGGTCTACAGCCATGGCTGTTTCTGAGGCAAAAGCTCAGATGTGGGAGGAGTTTGGTGAGACCTTGGATAACAACTCTCGGTCGGCTCCAAGGAGATTCTGGCAAATCATCAGATGGCTGAGAAGGGGAAAGCAGCACTTTACTAACACTGTATTCAGTGAAGGTGGGCTGCTGTTGACCTCAACCAGTGATGTCGTCGGGAGGTGGAAGGAATACTTCTCAGACTTTCTCAATCCCACCAACACGTCTTCCATGGAGGAAGCTGAGTCGGGGGACTTTGGGGTTGATCCATCCATAACTGTGGCTGAGGTCGCCGAAGTAGTTAAAAAAACTCCAAGGCCTCAGGGCTCCGGGAGTGGATGAGATTCACCCTGATTTCTTTAAGGCTCTGGATGTTGTGGGACTGTCTTGGTTGACACACCTTTGCAGCATCTTGTGGACATCGGGGGCAGTGCCACTGGATTGGCAGACTGGAGTGGTGGTTCCCCTTTTCAAAAAGGGGGACCGAAGGGTGTGCTCCAATTATAGGGGCATCACTCTCCTCAGCCTCCCTGGTAAGGTCTATTCAGGGGTACTAGAGAAGTGAGTCAGATTGTTGGTCGAACCTCAGATCCAGGAGGAACAATGTGGGTTTCGTCCTGGCAATGGAACACTGGATCAGCTCTTTACCCTCACTAGGGTCCTTGAGGGGTTATGGGAGTTTGCCCATCCTGTCTATATGTGTTTTATGGATTTGGAGATGGCATTCGACCGTGTTCCTCGGGGTTCACTGTGGGGGGGGTGCTCCGTGAGTACGGGATTGGGGGCCCGTTGCTACAGGCTGTTCAGTCCCTATACAAGCGGTGCAAGAGCTTGGTTCGCAATTCGCATTGCTGGTAGTAAGTCGGATCCCTTCAGGGTGGGAGTTGGACTCCACCAGGGCTGCCCATTGTCACAGATTCTGTTCATAACGTTTATGGACAGAATTTCTCTGTGCAGCCAGCGGGCGGAGGGTTTTGGTTCGGTGGCCTCAGGATTCCATCTCAACACTTTGCAGATGATGTGGTCTTGTTGGCGTCCTCATGCCATGATCTTCAGCTCTCACTGGAGCGGTTTGCAGCAGAGTGTGAAGCGGCTGGGATGAGAATCAGCACCTCCAAATCTGAGGCCATGGTCCTCAACTGGAAAAGGGTGGATTGCTCTCTCCAGATCGAGGGTGAGGTTCTGCCTCAAGTGGAGGAGTTCAAGTATCTCAGGGTGTTGTTCACGAGTAAGGGAAGAATGGAGTATGAGATTGACAGACAGATTGGTGCAGCGTCTACAGTATTGTGGACTCTGTACCGGTCCATTGTGGTGAAGAGAGAGCTGAGCTGTAAGGCAAAACTCTTTGTTTACCGGTCGGTCTACGTTCCTACCCTCACCTATGGTCACAAGCTCTGGGTAGTGACCGAAAGAATGAGATTGCCGATACAGGTGGTTGAAATGAGTTTCCTTCGCAGGGTAGCTGGACTCTCCTTTAGAGATAGAGTGAGAAGTTCGGTTATCAGGGGGAGACTCGGAGTAGAACCGCTGCTCCTCCACATCGAGAGGAGCCAGTTGAGGTGGTTCGGTCATCAGGTAAGGATGCCCCCTAGACGCCTCACTAGGGAGGTGCTTCAGGCATGTCCGACTGGGAGGAGACCCCGTGGAAGACCGAGGACACACTGGAGAGACTATGTCTCTCTGTTGGTCTGGGAACAACTTGGAATCCTCCCAGAAGAGCTGGAAGAGGTGGCTGTGGAAAGAGATGCATGTGCTTTCCTGCTCAAGCTGCTGCTCCCTTGACTTGACTTCGGAACAAGCGGAAGATGATGGATGGATAGATGGATGTTTTTTTTTTTAATTCGATTAACCTGTCATAATAGATGATTTCTTAATTATCACCCACCAATAGTAACATTGTTTTAGCTTGTGTGTGTTAGTACACAAAATATTTCATGAACCATGAATGTAATTTCAGTATATTTGGAATAATCATTAGATATACATCTATAACTGATTAACTTTTGGAATCAAACCAATTCAAGATGGCTACTTAAGCACATCAATCTTAGCAAACACAAAAATTATTTTCACTCCGTCAGTTTTACAGATATTGGGTTAAGTTTTGATGTGGTAGTAACTGAGAGTCTTTCACAACTTATATTTCAAGGACTGATGGATTGCTCAAGAATTTTTTTTAATATGTTTATTAAACATTTATTTATACAGGAAAAAGGGGGCGGGGGAAAAATTAAATAAAAGTAAGACAAAACATATCTCATACAGCACATATACAGATAAATCAAATAAGATTGCATGTATGTAAATTACAGCCATTACTTGTAAAACAAAATAAAAGTTACCTATTCACAAATATACTTAAAATGTGTACATCATGTCGGTTTACATTACTGACCATTTAATTTTGAGACAATCCAAAACTCTCCCTTTTTTTTCCCTTGTCCTATCCGGCATTGTGACACTCAGAATTATTGTCTGAGTGTCAAAGTGATGCCCAACAGATTTACTTTCACAAGCAGAGTATTATGGCTGGCCTTAATCCTCCACTTGATATAAAAATTAAATTTTATTAGAATTTGCTTTGGGCTTGTTTCAGATGTAATGGACACGGGGATGAAAAACAAAGAAGAAAACAAAGCAGAAAAGTGGGAGAAGGGTTCAAAGGTAAAGAAGGAGATAGGAATAGAGGAGAGAGAGGGATAAAGAGAACACAAAAGTAGATCCAGCCATGGACACCGAGCCCTGAGTCCCGAGGTCATACCATCACCCAACAGAGGTTCGACAGAGCCAGGGCACCCAGGCCCTGCCAGGCAGCCACAGGGCGGGCCGGCACACACCCCACCACCCAGCCCCAGATGCTGAGAGCCGCCAATGCACCGGCGGCAGGGGGGCCCACCACCAGAGGGGAGCACGATGGGGGAAATAGACCCCATATTAAATGGGGGGCCCAAATTGATCAGAGAGAGGGGACCACCTAAAACCCAACCCGAGACATAAACAGACACACAGAGACAGCCCGACAGAGCCTCTGTCGGGCCATTCATGCGCCCCACTCACCCAACAGCGACTGCAAGCCGGCCCTATGCCGGGGGCCAGAGCAGAAGGGAGCAGCAGTTGAGGAAGGCCGGCCCAGTGCACCAAGGACCAGGCACCCCAACAGCCCCACACCACAGGCCCGTAGAAGCCCCGGCATGCCACCTACGCACCCCCCCATACACACAGCACCCCCCACCACGAATGTCACACCAGGCCGACCAGCCAGCGCCCTGTCAAAGCAAAGCCACACCCCCGACCGCCGCCATACACCACCAACGACCACACACACACAACCACAGCCGACCCCCCGCCGGAACATGGCAGCCATCCCAGTCAAAGGGCCGGCCATCACAACCAGGAACCTTGATCAAAAAATCCGAATAACCCAGGGAGAACCGGAGCACCGGCCCCATCCCCAATCACCCCAACAAGGCCCAACGCCCACCCACAGCCAAGACCCCAACCAGGCAGCCTACCTCCCCTCCCTGCCCCCAACCCCAAATGTCAAATGGAGAACGGGGGTGTAATGGATAAATACATATAAATAATTAACAGGAAGACCCCACTCCTC